GACACTTACCTGTGATGTGTATTCTATTGTATTGTACTTTGCCCATTTGGTGGGCTGTGTTAAAATGAGAATCACTACCTATATTTGAAGCTAAGATATACTGTCTTCTTTTAGGGTGCTTCCTGAAGATGAAGCTGGAGGTATTCTAGGCAGCTAAGTTAGGCAGACATCAAAATTACGGATGGAGGTAAATCAAAAGAGAGCCAGGCCTCAGGATAGAAAAGCAATAGCAAGGCCTGCATGTCTCCCTAGAAATAAACAGCAATTTAAAATTATACTATAATTAGCACCAACTCATTCAGCAGGCCCAGAAAATCGTCAGGTGCGTAGGTGGTTGACCGGAACATCTGGACCCTTACTCCCCTCCCTCCCCAAAATGCCTTTGTTCTTTCAATGTACCTTTGGTATATGACTCATTTCCATACTGGATCAGTGTTAGCTAAGTGGCCAAACTTATAATGTTTTAGGTTGATTGTGGTCTGACTCATGTTGTGATTTGGGAGTATAAATTACCAATGACAAGGCATTCCCAGGGGCCATCCTCTGGAAACCCCTTCTAGAAATCAAGACAATCCTATTTCTTGTTTTCAGAGACACTCTACTAGCTTCCTTTTTATCATTAACTAAGGCCATTGGCACAGTTTAAATATACATAATGATTATATTCATCATATGGAATTTCTACCTGACATGATGTATCTTGGTTCTTATTTTTCCTCATTCCCCTGCACTTCCTTTTACCCCTCTTTACCCTCTAATTTACAAAAGCTTTGTTTCCATTTTGTCGTTATTTTCTTGTTTTTTTCCTTTTTCCATCCTTCTTTTCCTCCTCAACCTCCTTTGCACTCCTTCCAATTTGAACATTTTCTTCCTGTTTTACAACATCTATTATACATTTTGGTTCTTATTTACACTTTCACTTTCTCACATCAGAAAAACAATATGATACTTACATCTTTGTGTCCTACTTATTTCACTTAAGAGTATGGTCTCATGGTGCACCCATTTACCTAGAAATATTGCAAGCTTATTCTTCTTTATGGCAGAGCAGTATATTATTACATAATATACATTTATCACGAGTGTTTTATAAAATAAGAATAAGAGTGTTTTATACTCCACTGCATAAAAACCCCACTTCTTCTTTACTCATTTATCTGTTGGCAGGCACTTGGCCTGTTTCCAAGATTTAGCATTAGGCTGTGCTGTTATAAACATTGGTGTGCACATACCACTGTTATATGATGCTTTTAATTCTTTTGGGATGATGCCAAGGAGAATAGCTAGGTCAAGTGGAATCTCTAGTCCTTGTTTTGTGAACAGTCTCCATAATCATTTCCACAGTGATTGCAAAAGCCTACAGTCCCACAAATAATGCAGTGCTTCTTTTCCCCACAGCCTCACCAGCATTCATTCTTTCTGGTGTTAGATGGAATCTCAGTGTTGTTTTATTTTATTTATTTAAATTTTTTTCACCCCCTCATCCAGACACCTGTGACCAAATGAGATACTAGGAGGACATATAGGTACAAGCCATAGCACTCATAGACAAATACAGAGATTGAAAATTACTTAAGTAGGTGTACTTTTATGGCAGGTATGAACTGTATTTCCAATTCAGAAGTGCTATGTGACCTCCAAGTGGCTCAACTTCTATGGGCCTAGGCTGTTTGAAAGGTATAATTATCAGTACCTTGTCTAGTGCCTGGCATGCAGTAGGTGCCACATAAATGTTAAAATAAAAATGTGTGCTCAGAAAAAGGCACCCAAGACTGGCAGACCTTCTAGAAGGGCTTACTGCTTCCACCTGGCCCATCCCCGAACGTGGACTGATCTTACCCCCAAAACCAGATGTGTGGGGAGAGCAAATTGGGTGTCCCCTTCCACTTTCCCCAGCGTAGGCCTCTGCACCTCCCCCTTCAGAACAAAGTGCTGGGCCTTTCGGGCCTCTGAGCCCACTGGGGACACAGTTCGGGTGCAACAGTCAGGGTGACCATGCCCCCAACTGCATGTTTCCTGGAGTGGGGTGGGCTACTGGCAACCACAGTGGGGCACACAGGAGACAGACAGACCAGGAAGGACCCTTGCATTGAGCTGTGAGGGGTGGAAAGGGGCTTCACTGGTCTCTCCTCACTAATGGCCACACTGTCTTACATAGGGCCAGGGTTGTGTTGCCTGGGAGAAGTTCCCCACTTCCAGGTCCCTGTACCTACTTCTTAGCCTGACCATAAAATTGACTCTATTATGGGAAGAAACTTTGCCATACCTAATATATAAAAATGTGTCTTAGCCCTAAATATGTAATTATTAGCTATGAGCAGTATACATGCATGATTTTTACCTAAACTTTTATTTTTAATTTTATTTATGTATGTGTGTGTGGCCAGCTCAGCCCACCAGGGGGTGGGGCTGGCTGGCATGTGGTGCTGGGGGATTGAACCGCGGTCCCTGTGCTTTGCTGAGCTTGTTCTAAATAGGTGCTTTAGACCACTGAGCCATCTCACCAGCCCTTTTTTCCCTAAACTTTTAAAGTAACAAAGATATCTTAGGACACAGAAAACACTAAGCATATAAAATAATAGTCCAGACATATAAACTTTAAAAATTCATTAAGGAACTCAAAAACATAACACCAAAAAAAAAAAAAAAAAAAAAAAAAAAAAAAAAAAAAAAATCAAACAGCCTAGTTAATAAATGGGCAAATGACTTGAAAATGGCACTTCTCAAAAGAAGTACAAATAACTATTAAGCATGTGAAAGACAATGAACAGCTTAGCCATTAGGGAAACACACATCAGAATTGCACAGAGATTTCCTTTCACTCTACTTAGAATAGATGTCATCAAGAACGCAAAAAACAATAAATGCTAAGTATGTGGGGGAAGAAGAACTTATCTGCACTGTTAGTGGAAATGTAAGTTAGTAAAACCATTATGGAAATCAATATGGATGTTCCTCAAAAAGGTAAGAATAGAGATACTATTTGATCCAGCTAAGTGACCCTTGGTATCCAAAGGAATCAGCATATTGTAGCCATAAGTGTATAGCCATGTTCATTGCAGTGCAATTAATAATAGTAAAACTATAGAACCAGACTAAGTATCTACTCTCAGTTGTCAAACTCAGTTTGTTGCAAATTCATGTTCAAACACCAAAAAGTTCAAGAATTGAACACAATTTTCCTACAAGAATTAATGGGGGGAGGGGAGATGGCTCAGTGGAATAAGCACTTCCCTGGCAAGTGCAAGGGTCTGAGTTCAATCCCCGGTTGTGCCAAAAAAAAAAAAAAAAAAAAAAGAATTATTGGAGGGGGCCCTGCCCCTTAGCTCAGTTCTTTAAGTGGCTGCTTCAACAAAGCAGTCAGGCTCAGGTTGCTGTGGTTCGATCCCCACAACTCAAGCCAGCCAAACTTGCCCTGAAGGCATTTGGAGAAAAAAAAAGGAATTAATGGAAAAACAAATAATTGGTTTTCATTTTATTATTATTATTATTATTTATGTATTTAGTACAAGGTATACAGGGTCTCACTACACAGATTGGACTCATAGTGATCCTCCTGTTTTCAGCCTCCCAAGCGCTGGAATTACAGGCGTGCACCACCACATCCAGTCTCAGTCACCATTTCAGTGCACCCCTGGGGTGAGTCCGGCACAGCACACTGGGGATGGAGCCCCAGTCCCTGCATCTGCCTAAGCAGGCACTTTAATCCACTGAGCTATCTGGCCAGCCCCCAAATAATTTTTTTTTAAGATTTATTTATTTATTTATTTATTTTAATTTTGTGTGTGTGTGTGTGTGTGTGGCCAGCTCAGCCCACCAGGGGGCGGGGCTGGCTGGCATGTGGTGCTGGGGGATTGAACCGTGGTCCCTGTGCTTTAGCTACAGCTTGTTTTAAGTAGGTGCTTTAGACCACTGAGCCATCTCACCAGCCCCAAATAATTGGTTTTTAAGCTCCCCAAATTACTTATAAATTTATTTTTCCAGGACTTTAACAAACTTTGCGATTATTTTTGTAATGCTTTTGTTCAGTTTTCCTCTTAGCTTTACAGCTGGTATCACTTTCTTTGGAGCTATGGTTACAATATTTTATGCAAATAATGAGCTTTTAACACACTAACACAAGTACTATGTACTATCTGAGTCGGAGTGGCACTTAGACTGAAGTGTCACCCTTCTGTATCACTGCGTTTCTCACTCTTTGCCTATACAGGTGTTTCAAGTTGGACTTTTGGTTTGATTATCAAGCAAAGTTACAAACAACAGATTTCCCCCTCGCCTGCCGGAAATTTGCAATTTGAGCATTGCAAAGTTCGAACTTGGAGCTGTTCAACAGCTGAGGTATCACTATATGTAAATATAAAATGGAGTGCTATTTGCTCATAAGAAGCACAAAATTTTGTTATTTGGAGGAAAAATGACTGACATGGAGACCTTGTTGAGCACAATAAGCCATACTGGAGACACAGATACATGTTTCCCTAATATGTGTCATGTAAACAAGATGATAAAAACTAGAAGAGAGACTATTAGGAAAGAAAAAGACGATGAGGTAGAAGGAGTATAGTAAAGGTGGGCAACAGGAATGGATGTGATCAAAACATGCACTGAGACAAAAAATGAAACTAGGGGCAAGGTGGCACAAGAGGGGTTATGAGGGAGGTGAAAATTAGGTATGCTTCGTGTATGTATGAATCAGACAAAATGAAGCCCATTAATTTGTATAACCAATATGGACTAATAAAAAAGATATGAAGGAAAAACAACTTTTCTTTATTAAAATACACCATCAAGAAAGTGTACAAAAGAATCCCCTAGACTAGGAGTATACATAATGTTACATTTTCACATAATATTGCATGTAGGAAAGCAATGAATAATATTCCACTTATAGTATGAGCAAGAAATAAAATACTTCAATTCCAGGAATAATTCCAGTTTTTATTGATGCAATAAAAGGAAAAAAAATAGCTGGAAAGTTATACCTTATACTTGACTGTAGCAACTGTCATTAGGATGACAACACTTTCTTAGTATTTCCATGTAAAACTAATTTTTCTCAGAATATGTTAGATAATGATTTAAAATTGAATTTCCAGGTCAAGCAGCATGCCTTCATTTAAAGTTTATCAACTTTTCTTAATTGCGATTAAAAAAAATCAGATTGGACTGAGTCAGTCAGAATTCTACAACTGCTCTTTTTATTTTTTAGTGGCTTCTCAAACAGATCTTCAGATAAAGGTTAAGAATACTGGAATAAAAATGAGGCCATGGGCAGCCCCAAACACCATTACAAGAAACATAACCTTAAAAAATGTCCTGAAGATGTATGCTTGGGCAGCTGCTAAAATGCACACCCCTATTATTGTTGAAGTTGCACTCTGTAACACTGGGTAGCCCAACATATGCAAGGCCTCAATTGCCTTTCTATTTGCTGAGCGCTCAGAACTGGAAACAAAAGCATAGGAAATGTGTGCAGAAAAATCGAAAGAAAACCCTATACAAATGACAAGGTTAATCATAGATATGGAATCGAGATTGACCTTCCAGAATGCCATGAAACCTGTCACTCCCACAATCACAGAACCAATAGCAAATGTCACCCACAAGGCACACATTGGGTGAGGAATGAGCACTAAGGAGACCAGGAACATAGCCACTGATGCAACCAAAACGTTGCGCAAAGTGTTTTCCAGTATTGCCCCATACTGGTCAAAATATATGAAGGCATGGTTATAGACAAGCAAGGGGACCTCACACTTTTTGGCTATACCTCGTAACTGCTGTAACATTAATTTCTTTCTGACTGGGTAAGCAACATCCTTAGTCTGAATGAAACCCCGGGAAGAAATGATTTCATTTGATGATGAAATATTAATATCATTCATAAAATTTGGAAAGGTATTTAAAAACCCAGAAATATTGTCCATAAAAGAATCCTTATCATTAGGATCCTGACTGTTATTTTTCATATATTGCACATATGTTTGTAACCAAAACTCTGTAACATTTTTATCTACATATTTATTTTCTTCAAAATTCGTAATACATTTTTCCAATTTTTTCCTTACATTTTCATCCCAGTATTTAACATTTTCAGTAACAACAACCATAACCCTGGGACCATAATCTGAAAAATAATATTCCTCTACATCAAAATATGGTGTGATATAAGAATCGTCACTGGCCAGATTTCGAAGGTCTAAGCCTTCCTGCACTTTTAAACACCCATATATGCTGCTTGTCATATACAAAATGTATGTCAGCACTATGAAAAACTTAGTCTTGGTGCGTGTGAGAAAAGGACCAAAATAGTCTCTAAAGAACACATTCATTGGATGAACATCAGTTTCCCGTTCGTCTGGGACAGAACCAAAGGGGACACAGCAGGCCTTTTTTAATGAAGACCATTTCTGGTCTGGCTTTTTCAACCATTGTAGGCAGAGTACTTCTCTTTTACCATCGAGGGCCATAACGGCTCCAAACCAGGTGATGCTATAAAAATAGCAAAAGAGAAGGGTTGTTCCTGTGTAGATGCAAAAGTACTGGATGGACCTGAAAGAGCTCATGATCCCTGTGTAGAATGCCAGGACGTTGGTGAGTGTGGTGATTGTGATGGACACTGCCACATGTGCATAAACCTTGGACATTCTCTTTCTTATGCTGTCCATGAGGCTTGTCTTCTGCCAGGCAGAAATCATGATGAACATGTCATCAACACCAACACCTGTTAAAGAGGAAAAGAATCTTCATATGTGTTAATACCTATTAATAGTTACATAGATGGACCATTTTCTTTATATCATTTACCCTGCAAATCTTTGCTTAAACACTATCTCTTCCATGATGTTTTCTTTAGTTGCCTCTGAATTCACAACAGAATTTACCACTCCTTCCTCGGTAAGAAAAACTTTTGTTTATACATAGCATGCATGGTATATTCTATTCCAAGTCTTTACTTGCCTACTAGGTAATCAGTTCCTTTCTACCATGAGATTTCCTGATTGGTTTGGAATAGAAATAAGAGTATTTGAGAAGTCTGGGAAAACAGAGAACCACAATGGAAGAGGGCTAGGAAAGACAGTGTGAGCATGTTTCAGATATATTGTAATTCCCTCAAACTTTCTATGAGACAGAGCATGCAGTGGTGGCAGTGGCTTTTTTTGCAACTACGGCCAAGATTAAGGCATGTTATCTTTGCGGCAAGAAGAAAGATGAGTTGGTGAACCAGCTGGAGGACCTGAATTACAGCTGTGCACTGCCAAAGTGATGGGCATGCGCATCCAAGCTCTCCAAGATCCGAGCTGTCCGCAAACCCATCGCCCGTGTTCTCACCGTCATCAACCAGACCCAGAAAGAAAGCCTCAGGGAATATTACAAGGGCAAAAAGAACAAGCCCCTGGCCCTGAGGCCCAAGAAGACGCAAGCCATGTGCCACCGGCTCAACAAGCACGAGGAGAAGTTGAAGCTGAAGCAGCAGCAGCGGAAGGAGCGGTCAAGGCTTGAGCTGTGTGACAGTAAAACTCAAACTTTGGCAAAACAAAACAAAACAAAACAACAACAACAAAAAAAAACCCAAAATAACAACAAAAAAAACTTTTCTATGAGAGTTGACACACTTTTACTCTTGTATTCCTTTGCCTTCATGTATTGGTATCTCCTCGGTGCTTAGAACTGAAACGTTGATCTGAATTTGAATTTACTTTTCATATTTTGGAAACAACTTCGAAGAATTTGGAAGAATACTGGAAATTAGAACCTGACCTCTACCCAGATATCATATGGTTGGTGTTATCTAGACAGAAGGCATACATGGGCACAGACCTGTGGAATCTGCCTCTCTCCACTGTGGCACCCTACTGCTGCTGTCTATGAGGGTTCTAATCCTGCTCAGCATCAATAATTAGACCTTGAATTGATGTTTGTCAGATATTTAAAAACCAATTTTATTACTTATACAATCTTATTCAGAAATTGTCCTCGGACATGTCTTAGCTAAATTTAAAAAATCACAAACACACACACACACACCCTCCTATGCACATATAGTCCACATACAAGTGACTTACTATAAAACAACAGCATATGCTTTAACTATTGTTATTTATGACTTTAGGGTACGTCAAGTGACTGAGTGTGCTCAGGAAGGTGTGCTCTAAAAGGCTAAAGCACATATCCAGTACACGTTAACTGTCTCCCCTAGGAAACATGTATCTTATTTTCTAAAATATAATAACTTTGTTTTATGTTAAATAAATTCTAAATAGAACAAATTGAAAACAACTAGAATTTCACTCCTTAGGAATAATCCTTATTAACAATACAATATACAGCCCATCTAGAATTTGTTCTATGTAAATTTACACATAGCTATTTCTCTATTTCAAATATTTTGCAATAAAATTTTTTTATTTAATGGGCATAAAAGACTGAATATATTCTAATATTTTACATTTGCTACATTTGATTTGACATATCTCACCCTGCTGTGATTGTCTCTGACACTTCTTTGCTCTCTGCCTGTGATCCCTGCCTGATTATGCAACCAGATTCTCAGAATACGAATTGGTGGATGAAAAGTACCTTCTCTCTTTTGAGCAGAGTCTTTTGATTTGTTGCAAACACGGACTAAAAAAACTGGGTGGCAATTTACATTGTCCCACAGCACAATTAGGAAGATGTTCCTTTTCCAAACCATCAATTTTGCTAGGATGAGTAAGAAAACAAGCTGTCACTCTTTTAGTTTATTTGTTTTCCTTGATTAATTGAAAGGTCAAACTATTTTTCTTATATTTTCAGAGACTTCTATTTTTTGTGTGAACTATTATTTATGTTCCCTATTTGTCTGTTTGGGGGTATTAGATTTTTCCATCTACAAAGAAACACAATTCCATATGATTTTCTTTCTTCCTGGCACCTCATGTTGAATCTGTGTATCCACCTACAGACAATCTACCCCACTCTCACATGTCCAACATTGTGCAGCTTTACATTATTTTACTCACCTAGAATGAGAAATGGTGAATTTTTAACAATGATCACAAATGGCACTCCAATGTGCAGCATCAGACCAAAGCTGCTCACCACTGCCAAGACAGCAGAAGATACTCCTAAGACTGCAACCAACACTTTGTTTCGTATGCAGTCCAACCTGCAAATTTGGAGAGAAAAATCATGGAATTTGTGGTGGCAGCTTGAAATTCCATTTGATAATATCCATAACTTGGACATCTGGTACAACTACTGTGGAAATTGACAGGTCTGCACCCATACAACAGTGGTCAGGTCATCATGGCAGTGAGCCCACATGGCGTGGGAATCCTAAACCAACAACATGCTGTCCTTAGACTAACTTCTGTCTTCTCTCCCCTTGGTTAACCTCAACTTCATCTTTTGTTTTTCGCATGTGCCAAGTCTTTCCCAATCAGCTTCTGTTAGACACTGCACTGCCCATGGAAACTCCACCCCCAACCCATCCCAATAAATTATTTGTCTCCCTGCTTCTGCCTCGGACAATTCTTGCTTTTCTTCTGCAGCTCTCCTGTGTCAAGCAATAAAATCTTTCTTTTCCTCTTTCACACTTCTCATTTGCATCAGAGGAAGGAAGCTTACAGAAATCAGTGTGGAGAGTCCTCCTATTAAGACAGAGATGCTGCTATAGCAGCAGTCTGGTCCCATTTGACCCAGCTATTCCCCCTCTGGGTATCTTCCCAGAAGAATTACAAACATCATATCACAGAGATGTATGTGCACCCATGTTTAGAGCAGCACAATTTGTAATAGCTAGGTCATGGAAACAACCCAAATGCCCATGAACCAAGGAATGAATAAAAAAAGATGTGGTTTTCTATAATGGGTTACTACTCAGCCATAAAGGATAAACTGGAGATTGTTATATGTAAATGGATACAACTTGAGACCATACTCATAAATGAAATAAACAAGACGCATATGTGTAACCACTGTATTGTCTCCCAGTATGAGAAGCTGAAAGAGTAAATAAGATCCAAAATGTACAAGATCCAAATATAAAATGGGAAGAAACTTTAAAAGGAAAGAGAAACTGGAATGGGGTAATGGAGGAAAGGAGAAAGGGAGAAACAAAAACAAAACAACCACTAAGGAACAGCCTTAGAATTTATATTTTCTTGACCAAAACTCTTTATAGATTCTGACTCAGTAGGTTTGTAGTAAAGCTGTAGTCTCATGTCTAAAATTGTTTGCATACAATTCCAACTTACAGGCAGTTGTGGGCATCAGTGGCAGCAAAATGGCAAGTTTTCTAAAGTTCCTATTACCTCAGCAGCAGGGATAGGCCACACTGGAATTACGATTCCTGGAAAATGGTGTTTCTGCTTGGTGAAGAATATAAATCTCCTTTGAGAGGGAGATTCTATCATCAGTTTTGGAAATTTACAATGCATTGCAAAGGGTGTCCAAGTTTTCTCAAAAAATATCTAACACTTGATGTAGGTTTTGTCACTTCCAGAGAATCAGATGATACTGAAATACTGTGGAAGAACAAGGTACCACTACTTGGTATTGCTTGAATTATAATGCAGTTCAAACTTCAGTGTAAACTCTTGACCAAGTCTTATTTCTCAAATGACTTCACTGGAAAATAATAAATAGAAAAAATATATGTATCCAAAAATATGTTTGAATTGAATCACCCACAGGCAAATGCACAAGTGTAAGTTACAACCCAAGAATGGTTATCTGGGAACTATCTAGGAAGTATATTCCAAATAAGGGACAAAAGACCTTCAGTGATACATGCAGAGAAGGAAAAAGAAATGTATAAGAACTTACAGGAGTATTCATAGGAGGGTCAGTTTTATATCCATGCTCAGAGAATGCATACAGCAGACTGCTGCTGTAGCAGCATCTCTGTCTTAAGAATTTCCCCATCCCTGTTCCTCTACTCTTGGGGTGTGCTTTAACCCATGAAGCAGCAACTCAGCAAGTTCACTGAAAGAAGCAGAGAGGGAGAGGGCTGGCAAAGTCCCTTTCTCCCCATCAAGGGCTATCCCATGTAGCACAGCCCAGTTAGCAGAGATGGAAAACCCTTACCTTCAAGTCACATTACCATTTGTTCTTACTACAAGGACATGGAAATCTGAACTCTGACTGGAGGACTTGATCTTAGAATGGCCATAGAAGTCACAGGGTCTACCTGAGTTCTCCTGGGGAAAGAAAGAACTCATTCTATCTTTAAAGCTTAAAAAAAATAAAGGGAAGCAAAAATAAAATGGCTGCATGTTTCTAAGTCATGAGCGCAGAAATCAAAAGCAGATTTTTCTGAGTGATTTTTTGCAATCATTTGTAATGACAGGTAAAACAACGACTAAATTTGAATCTTTAAACCAAACTATCTGGCAGAAAAGCTTTGTCAAGCCAACGTTTTCTTTTCTTTTTTTTTTTTTTTTTAACATTTATTTATTGTGTGTGTGTGGGGGGGCCAGCTCAGCCCACCAGGGGGCGGGGTCGGCTGGCATGTGGTGCTGGGGGATTGAACCGTGGTCCCTGAGCTTTGCCAAGCTTGTTCCAAGTAGGTGCTTTAGACCACTGAGCCATCTCTCCAGCCCAAGCCAACGTTTTCTATCTTACAACTTTCTTTTTTTAAAATGTATTTTATTCCAGGGTCTCACTACACAGATCAGACTCATAGTGGTCCTGTTTTCAGCCTCCCAAGTGCTGGGATTACACGCCCAGTAATACCACCACGCCCAGTCTCAATCACTATCTCAGTGCACCCCGGGGGCGGGGCTTGCATAGCATCCTGGGGATTGAACCCTGGTCCCTGTGACTGCCTAAGCAGGCATTTTAATCCCCTGAGCTATCTGGCCAGCCCTTCTATCTTATAACTTTCACACCGCTTTTAAGTATGCTTTCTCCTACTGATTTAGGGTTAGGGTGAAATGACTATGAAACCTGTTGGAAGGTGCCCTGTTTTTATTCTAGTTGTTTCTGACAATTTTTGATTATTTTTTGGTATTTCAGTACCTTCTCTGCCATTTTGCTTGCTGACATGCAATGCTACAAAGTTACAAAGAAACTGAAACTTTTATAAAGTAAAAGAATTACAGTACATCTAAGATTAATTTATTATTGAAGAAAGATTTTTGGTAAGTAATGTAGCCTAAGTGTGCAGTCTTTTTTTTTTAATTTGCGGAACCGGGGATTGAACTCAGACCCTTGAGCTTGCCAGGGAAGCACTTATTCCACTGAGCCATCTCCCCAGCTCCTGTGCAGTCTTTATAATGTTTAGAGTAGTGTGGCAGTGTCCTGGGTCCTCATACCCAGGCACTATTCACACTGGGACTCACCCAGAACCACTCAGTTCTGCAAGTTCTATTCTGTTCTGTTCGACTCTAGGCAAGTGTACTATTTTGAACTTTTCTACCCTATTTTCACTGTAGCTTTTTTGTGTGTACATATATTTATAGTTGTCCACTGTATTGAATGAAGTAACATGCAGTACACCTTTGTAATTACTGAAGGTTCCAACGGCCACCACCCTAGAGTATAGTGGATTGCTAACTGGTAGTCAGCTTGTTACACCCAGCTGAACTGAACTAGCATGGTGCTGGGTATGGGAGGCCCACTTGAGGACTGTTGCCAGTGGCAGAAGCTGTGGACAGGCTGCTAGGGAAGCTGTTTGGAGAAGCTGTTGGAGCTGCTGGAAGCTGCTGGTTCTCTTGGGCTATTCTGCTGGAGGACCTTGTCATGCTGGCTTTCCTGATGAACTTGTCTGTTCTTGGAGGAGGAACTCAGGACCTTGCTGTCGCTGAGGATGGCTGCAGTTCACTTTTGGGTAGTTGTGGTCTTCATCTTGATTATCACTTCCTGACTCTAGAGGGGAAGATGGTGCACTGCTCAGCCTTGTGGAGAAGCTTGTCACACTGGCTTTCCTGATAAGAACTCAGTTTTCCTCATTCCTAGAGGAGCTCAAGACCTCACTGTTGTGGAGATACTTCTGGAGGGAGCTCTGGTTCTGATCTTGAATGTTGCTTCCCGGCTCCAGTTATGATCCCTCAGCCTGCTAGCACAGATCCTTCATCTCACTGGCATAGACTTTCTAGCTTCCACTATTGACCTTTGGGCCTTTCCAGTGTAGATTCGTGAAGTGGGTCTGCATGAGACATTGTTGTGGGCTTTAGGCCTCCAGTTGGACTTGTAGGAGGCATTGTATGAGCTCTAGGTCTTCAGCTGGACTCATGCAGGACACTACTATGAGATCCAGCCTCTTAGCTGGATTCTTTGGTCTTTAGTATGGACAGATTTCCTGTATTCTCTTTGTATATGATTCTTTGGGTGATTATAAAATAATCATATAAAATGTGTCCTGTATTGTATTGTTCCCCTTGCAAAAACCCCAAACCGTGACATGGGGTAACCATAGGCCACTCTAAACCTCTTCTCCTACCTCCTGTTATGCTTTTGCACCTGCTAAGGATGTATAAGCATAGGTTAATATGGCCCAGTAAGCAAAGCTGCACCCTGTAACTTTCATCATTAGTTATCCCTGCTATTGATTGCAACCACTGGTGTCTGTACTTTCTCAAGCCCTATCTTGGCATGTAGTCATAACTTCATTTCACTGAACTCTCCCCCTCACAATGCTATAAAATATCTCATAACCTATAGCAGAGTGGCCAGCCAGTTTTGTTTAAGTGCCAGGGTAATGCCCCTCAAGTTGAAATAAAGCTGTCTAGTTGCGCTTGTACCTTTGGGGTTTTTCCCCCTCCCTTTCCTTAATATTCTGGTGGCCCATGAGGGGAGGAGATTGAGGGGACTACTCTAGTATCCTCATCCCTTCCTTTTGTGACCCTGCCTTGTTTCTCTCTCTCTCTCTCTCTCTCTCTCTCTCTCTCTCTCTCTCTCTCTCTTCTCTTTCTCACAAGCTCCATGAGGTCATGTATTATTTTTTGCTAGTCCTTCAGTCAACTCCAGACTCTTCATTATGTAGCCTAGGACTGATCAGATTGGCCTGAGTTCCCCAGGTTCCCAGAAAGTGCAGGTCCATCCCAGATCCCTGGGGATCCCACAGGGCTTAGGGTTAGTGGACTTCTGGTAAAACTGGAGTGGGGACTACTGCCAAATCTCTTGCAAAGAAATGTCTCTGATGTGACTGGGCCATATCCACAA